GAGAAAATGGGAAAATGAAGGATATAAACCACTTGAAATAAGCCATATCAATAAAAGACAGCAACTAAATGATTAAATGAAATAAATATTTGAAAATAATGTAAAATTTTTGCTCTACTTAGAAATAATTGCTTTATTTTACAGGTCAATTATTAAACATTAAAAAAGTAAATGAAGAAAAAATATAGTTTTCATTAAAAAAACTAATCTGAAGTACATGAAATAACTGCATAACAAATTGTATGTGGAATATGTGGAATTTTAAAAATTCATGATATATTACATTAAAACAAAAGTCAGACTTATTTTTCATTATAATCTTAATAACAGCATTAATAAGCTATTTATAATGATTTTCAGGACCAGAAGTGTAGCTCAGTGGTACAGCACTTGTCTAGGATGTGGGAGGTCCTGGGTTCAATCCCCAGTGCTGGAAAAAAAAAATTACTATAATGATTTTCAAATATGTCCTAAGAAAAAAAATCTAGACTCTCTCAAGCTTTGAAGTTTTAAAAATGTTTAAACCTAGTCTAAATATTTTTTTTAAAAAAAATAAACAGTACCATTAGGTGTCAAAACATATTCTTAAAAACAATGATACCTATAGCTGTTATTCTTCAGACAAGGCCTATGTTAGAAAGTTCTAAAATGCAATAGATGATTTAATTGCCAGTGACAATGTAGGTCTTTCTTTTTTTACAAAGGAAACTGCTAGTATCCTGAGAGTAAAGAATTAGTGTTCATTAACATAAGATAGTAATGAGCTCTGGAAGTTTCTCATCTAAGTTTCATAGAAGGAGAAGAAGGGAAAGACATTTGCTCATTTCAAAATCAAAATAAGTCTAAAAGGAAATTCCTCCAAGGCATTTAGCTTTCTAACTACGTTTCTGGCCACAATGCACAAAATTTACTATAATTACCACATAAACCTGGCATTTTCAGGAGGAACTTGTTGTAGGATGCATATACTCTAGAAAGTGCTATTTAAGAATTAATATTTTCTGGGACTTGGAATGTAGCTAAGTTGGTACAGTGTTTGCCTTGCATGCACAAGGCCCTGGGTTCGATCCCCAGCACCACACACACACACACACACACACACACACACACACACACATTAATATTTTCTAATGGAGAGAACAAAAAAGGTCATGATCAATAGCTGAATTCAAGTGTTGACCTTAATCATAACCATCCAGTAAAGGACTTCATACATAATAAGAGCCCTGGAAAAACTTTTAAAACTGATCAAATGCTAAATCAATTTTGTACTTATCATTATATACTTCAAAATAGGATAGAAACTACTTTCTTAAATTTCATATGAAATAAAAAATAATTTGTAAAGACATAAATCAGAAGTACATTCAGTAAAAATCCATTCAAGAAGCCTACCATTTACTCTAAAACACTGCCTCAAGAACATGTTTGGTGGAGGGGCTGGGGCTCTAGCGCAGTGGCTTGCCTAGCATGCGTGAGGCACTGGGCTCCATCCTCAGCACCACATAAAAATAAGCAAATAAAATAAAGGCATTTAAAAAAAAGAACGTGTTTGGTGGAAATTAATAAAGGAATTTAATGAATAACCTGGCAAGAGATTCAACAAACATATCGTAAGGTGGTTGAATGGGAACTCTGGATTGTTCACTGACTACTAGGCAATGAGTGAGCTGGATTAGGGTCACTGGCTGAATTCTACACCTCCAAATGTGAGTCTCCCATTTCTCTTTTTTCATTCAGAACCTGTTATTCTGGTACTATAAGGACAACTTTCAATGCCTGTCTTTCATACAAACCATACTTTCAAACTGATATTCCTAAATCTTGCCTGTTTTACTCCAATTTTAAAATTTTATGCTTTAGTGAACAAATAAACATTTTCAACTAGAACCTGTAAAGTCTGCCTTCCAAATGCAGAAGCACTACCATTTTGTTTCCACAGCAAGGTAGTACTCAAATACTTTTAATGTTTTATTACATTTTATTTTTGCAATTTTATTTTAAAAAGTGGAAATTATAAAATGTTAATGGTAAGAAAAGTAGAGTTTGAAAAACTCTACTTTTGAAAAAACATGAAGCTCATCAGTCATGCCAAAAGCTGCAAATTTTTAACATCAAGTGAATTAAGTGGTTACTGGGCCCACAGGAAAAAATTAAAGAACACATGAGGGGCTGGGGTTGTGGCTCAGCGGTAGGACGCTCGCCTAGCACATGAGTTCAATTCTCAGCACCACATAAAAATAAATAAATAAAGGTACTGTGCTCAACTACAAATATATATATATATATGAACACATATAAAACATGAGTTATCATTAAAGATTTTATATTTGGGAAATCTCCAGGAATGAAAATTCCCCTAACAGCCTGTAAATCTGCTGTTTAACTTGTACACATTCAACTTCTTTACATATATTCAGGTTTATACATGTATAAAAATAAAAATCAAAGAATAAAAATTCTCATGCTACTCTGGATTCCTTCAGTGGCTAAAACAGTTATTTGTTAAATTGACTTTGCTATATTATTGACTTAACGAGTCATGCGTCCAAGCAACATGATAGACTAGTTGATTTTTTGTAAATTAACCACCATTTATTGGTAGCCTCCTATGTGCCAGGCCTATGCTGAACTCCGAAGGACACAAAGACAGGGAAAACAGGGACATGACCTGCTGGAGACTCTGAAATTAGATCCTGACATCAGTGTCTGCAGTAACCTCTCACATGAATATGGTACTTTACGGGACACAAAGCAGAAGGACCAAGAATCAAAGAAAAGATGTGGCTGTCCCTAAGGACAGCCATGACTCAACCTAGGTCTCCTAGTATCTAGTTCAGTGCCCTTTCTTTTTGATCATTCTTTAAGAATATGTGACTTTAACTCATTAAGTCCTAAGTTTTCAATTCTGTGAATATTACAATGAAACTGACAAAGATATATTAAAATAGGTTGGAAATCATAATCCAGAGCTTATGTGTATTTTAATGAATATTATAATTATTAAATTATAACTATGTCATAATTTTATACAACATTTATGTTTTTAGATGCCCCATATCTGGGACAATGGAACAAAACAGGATAAAAAGAAGATACCACAGATGGAGGTATTTAGGCACTGTGCCAACTCAATGGGAAAGACACTTTTCAGTTAGGTAGCCTTAGCTAAAATTTCTCATATCTTAATAGCCACTTATTCTTTGCACTTGTGAAAAAGAGCTAAACATCTATGCTTCCCTACCAAGGTACAGAGTTTTACATTAAAGATAAAATAACTGGCACATCCCCACAAAATTAGTTTTTACTAAGATTGACTCCACCCATCTAGACCCTCTTTTGTGATCCTGCCTTTTCCATCCATTTCATGATTTTCCTTCTCAATTCTTTCCTTTTACGATTTGTAAAGCCACTCCTGGCTCTTCTTTTTTTCTCAAATTCTTTCTTCCACCTTATTAAAAGCGACAGATTACTTTTTTTTATGACACTGGGCAGTGTTTTCTTTTTCTCTTGGGGAAATTTATCCTGAAAGGAAAAACATGTTTGACTACTTCATGAGATAATAAAATTAAATCTTTTATTTTCTATACCTAAGAATGATGTCAAATATAATTTATTCAGATATAAAATAAAAAATTGAAAGTAAATATAAGCAAACATGCAAATTTGGAATATTCTTCATAATTATTAGAAAAGCACTATAAGGAACTTCACAATTTTATAGCTAGAATAACTGTTATATACTATCATAAAGGTTAAGGAAGGTCAAATTAGAAATACAAATACAAATGTAACATTGGGGGGCTAAATATTTATGTGTCTATCGGGGATTAAAACCAGGGACACTCTATCACTAAGCTCTACCCCAACCCTTTTTATGTATTTATTTTTTATTTCAAGACAAGGTCTTGTGAAATTGCCAAGGCTAGCATTGAACTTGCAAGCCCCTGCCCTACCTCCAGCTTCCAGAGTAGCTGAGATTATAGGCATGCATCATATGCCTGGCTAATAATGGCATTTTTTTTTTTTGATGCCCATCCTTCTTGCCCCCAAGTCCCAGAGACTATTTCACCCCAGCAGAAGGAAAATACCTGAAGTCACACTGACCTCCTTATAACTGCACTCCAACTCTAACCCATCCAAGTGGAGGGTCTGGAAATGAATTCCTTTTGAAACTGTTTATACTCACTAGTTCCTAAAAAGTCTTCCTGCATTCTCAGGGGTATAGCACTCCAATTAGAAGATGGCTGGCCTATGTCCTAGCTCTGCATCTCAGACAGACATTCTGTCTAGTATATTTTGGTTGGTACCCAGGGTGAATGCCAGGATGAATGGATGTCTGTGGAGCAAAAAGGGATTAGGAAGGGGCCCTCCTGGAAGAAAACTTTTGCAGTGGTGGGTAGGGATGGACTGAGAGGTGAGGAGAGGAAACCAGAGAAGCTGAATGGCTATGGAAAACTGCTGAAGTACTGGAGCTCTCAGAACCTGACTTCTGATCTTGCAGGTGGTTGGTCTCCTTTGCTGGCAACCCCATCTCCAGTGTATCAGCTTCCTCCCTTGCTCACAGGCAGCAGCTAGTATGTAATCCAGATAGTTTCTCCATTGTCACATATATACACTGTACATAAATTAATGATGAAGCTATGATCTGAGAAATGCATCATTAAATGATTTCATTACTGTATGAATACCATTCTGTGGAGTTGTTTATTAATGCTTATAATGACTACTGAGTTAATATTCAAAAGTTAACAAACACCGAATTAGCTCTCAATAAGAGTAGACAACCTGTGAAGAGTCACCTCACATAGAAAAATATAACAGAACATTCTGTTTGATTCTTTCTGTAGAAGCATTTGAAGGCACAGACCTGCTAACTTAAACATGCTTTCTGTAAAATAACCAGGTATTCAGGGATCTCTCACACGTGATTCTAGAGGAACTTGAAAGTCTTCTTAGTAAACAACAGGATACACATCAAAGTGTCACAATTTGCTCACCTTTCCATCAAAGCGTTTTATTATATACTGATCCAGGCCCAAGTCTGAAAAAGAGAAAAAAAAAAATGAGCTACTGATTCTAACTCAACTGAAACATATAAAAGAACAAATCTCAGTTTTGTTTCCAGATACTCAATTAAATGTACTAGACAGTTTAGCTACAACATTTATTCTAAGGCCATGAGAATGAATATTCTGTCCCACTTTCAGATTCAAAGTTTTTAAGTCCTAAAAGATACCAACCTTTTATTTTACATATCAGAAAAGTGAGATTGACAGGGTACAAGCTGCATGTGCAAACTTATTTAACAATAGAGTCAAATTAGGACTCCTGACTCCTCCCGGGGGGGGGGGGTGCTCTTTCTATTATATTACCTATAATTAAGGTGAAGAACAATATTTAAACAGAATGCATATTATTATTTTTGTATCAATTTAAAGAAAAGAGTTCAATACCAAAAGAACTTTTGCAACAAAGCTCAAGAGACCATCTTAATATATCATCCTAATATAGGGAGTCAGGGGGAATAGAGAATACCTAGGTTTGAATTCTGAGCACTGTGAAAGACATAAGTACATACATTGTGTTTGACTGACAGGGATGTTTTTGTCTCTGCATAATGTTTTATTCCCCATACTTGATACAATACTTGATCAATAGATACTACAAAAGAATGTATGAATAACATACAATTCCTTCTTTGAAGAGTTCCAATTGTGAGAAAGACATATGGGTATGATAATTAACATTATAAGGGAGCATACAATTAGTTCAATAAAAGGGTACTTTGTAGGAGTTCTGAAAGTAATCAGTTCCCAACTATATTTTTTTGTATAATTACTCAATCCTTTTCTTTCATGTCTTACCATATTCATGCTAGTTTAGACAGGAATATACTGTCCACAGTGTTATAACCAATTACCACTGCTCCCAGAAAATTTTTGCATTTCTCCTTCCACAAATTTTGTTACACATTCTCCTTACAGGAAATGTGTTTCATCTTCTAGAAGCCTGCCCTGAACAAAATGAATCATTGATTATAAAAGAAACAGATAATTTAGGAAACAGAAAGAAATTTTAAAACAATTCTAATTCAAAACTTCACAAATATTCAAGAAAATATTAGTCAAAAAGATAGAATAAGCTTCTGTTATAAAACAAACAAGAAAGAGTTATAGACAATTAAAATTCTGCCTATCTCCCCCTATTTTTCAATATACTGTCAAAAGAGAAGAAAAGGTAACTTCCCAGACTACTGACAAAAAGATAGCAGGATGGAAAGCAGAAAATATATGACAAAGTCATATCCTACAGGACCTACAAACAGAAAAAATATTAGCAGAAACTCTCTCAAAACTGGAGAGACACAAACTAATACTTTACCAAGGGTTCTAAAACAGGATGAACAAAAACCTATCTACATTCAGTGTATGCTTGTGAAATCTTAGAATAGTGAGGATAACTCTGTGAGCCAGGCATGATGGTGCATGCCTGTAATATCAGTGGCTCAGGAGGCTAAGGCAGGAGGATCATGAGTTTGAGGCCAGCCTCAGCAACTTAGTGAGGCCCTACGCAGTAAGACTTGTCTTGAAATAAAAAATGAAAAGGGCTGGAAATGTAGCTCGGTGGTAGAGCATCCCTGGGCTAAATCCTCAGTACTACCCCACTCCACCCCCTGCCAAAAGAAAGAGAAACTCTTAACAGATTTCCAGGAAATGAAACTTCCTAGATACTTTAAAAATAAATAAGTATTAGGCTAGAATCAGATGTCTCATGAGTAAAACGTGGTTCATCATAAAGGCTAATAATGCTTACTAACTGGAGCAGCACTGTTCAACAGAAACATAATATTAATAACAAATATAAGTGTATTTTAAGTTTTTCTAACAGCTATTTTTAAAAAGATGTTAAAAGAGATGGGTATGATAGCACATCCCTGTAATCTCAGCTTCTTGGGAGGCTAAGGCAGGAGGACTGGATATTTGGGGCCAGCCTGGGCAAATTGTGGAGACACTGTCTCAAAATAAAATTTTTAAAGGGCTGGGGGTGTAGCTCAGTGGTAGAGCACTTGTCTAGCATGTGAGATTTACCAAACAATGTAGTAATTCTAAATAAGATGCACCTAATAAGAAAGTTTCAAAAAATTGATGGAATCAAAAGGATATGTACACAAATTCACAATTTAAGTCAGAAATTTACAGTCTTCTCTCAACAATTCATAGAGAAGAAAACTGACACTCAGTAAAGCTATACAAGGGAGAAAGCAGAAGTGGTTGCCTGAGAGTTGGAGAGCAGGGAAGACAGGAAAAGAAGAATTGCAAATGGGAATGAAGAAGAGGATCATACGGTACTTTTTCCCATTCACAAATAGGGAAAATGTTCATTATATTGATTGTGGTGATGGTTTCACTAGTATGTATATATGACTAATATATAAAAACTCATCAAACACTTTGTAATGTTTAAAACACTATGTTTTAGTTCTCGAAACACTGGCCAGAGCAATTAGACAGACGAAAGAAATTAAAGGCATAAAAATAGGAAAAGAAGAACTTAAATTATCACTATTTGCAGATGATATGATTCTATACCTAGCAGACCCAAAAGGGTCTACAAAGAAACTATTAGAGCTAATAAATGAATTCAGCAAAGTGGCAGGATATAAAATCAACACGCATAAATCAAAGGCATTCCTGTATATCAGCGACAAATCCTCTGAAATGGAAATAAGGACAACCACTCCATTCACAATATCTTCAAAAAAAATAAAATACTTGGGAATCAACCTAACAAAAGAGGTAAAAGACTTATACAATGAAAACTACAGAACCCTAAAGAGAGAAATAGAAGAAGATCTTAGAAGATGGAAAAATATACCCTGTTCATGGATAGGCAGAACTAACATCATCAAAATGGCTATATTACCAAAAAGTTCTCTATAGGTTTAATGCAATGCCAATCAAAATCCCAACGGCATTTCTTGTAGAAATAGAGAAAGCAATCATGAAATTCATATGGAAAAATAAAAGACCCAGAATAGCAAAAACAATGCTAAGCAGGAAGGTGAATCAGGCGGTATAGCGATACCAGACTTCAAACTATACTACAGAGCAATAGTAACAAAAACAGCATGGTACTGGTACCAAAACAGGCGGGTGGACCAATGGTACAGAATAGAGGACACAGAAACCAATCCACAAAACTACAACTATCTTATATTTGATAAAGGGGCTAAAAGCATGCAATGGAGGAAGGATAGCATCTTCAACAAATGGTGCTGGGAAAACTGGAAATCCATATGCAACAAAATGAAACTGAATCCCTTTCTCTCGCCATGCACAAAAGTTAATTCAAAATGGATCAAGGAGCTTGATATCAAATCAGAGACACGCCGTCTGATAGAAGAAAAAGTTGGCTACGATCTACATTCGGTGGGGTCGGGCTCCAAATTCCTCAATAGGACACCCATAGCACAAAAGTTAATAACTAGAATCAACAAATGGGACTTACTCAAACTAAAAAGTTTTTTCTCAGCAAAAGAAACAATAAGAGAGGTAAATAGGGAGCCTACACCCTGGGAACAAATCTTTACTCCTCACACTTCAGATAGAGCCCTAATATCCAGAGTATACAAAGAACTCAAAAAATTAGGCAATAAGAGAACAAACAACCCAATCAACAAATGGGCCAAGGACCTGAACAGACACTTCTCAGAGGAGGACATACAGTCAATCAACAAGTACATGAAAAAATGCTCACCATCTCTAGCTGTCAGAGAAATGCAAATCAAAACCACCCCAAGATACCATCTCACTCCAGTAAGATTGGCAGCCATTAGGAAGTCAAACAACAACAAGTGCTAGTGAGGATGTGGGGAAAAGGGTACACTTGTACATTGCCAGTGGGACTGCAGATTGGTGCAGCCAATTTGGAAAGCAGTATGGAGATTTCTTGGAAAGCTGGGAATGGAGCCACCATTTGACCCAGCTATTCCCCTTCTCGGTCTATTCCCTAAAGACCTAAAAAGAGCATGCTACAGGGACACTGCTACATCGATGTTCATAGCAGCACAATTCACAATAGCAAGACTGTGGAACCAACCTAGATGCCCTTCAATAGACGAATGGATTAAAAAAATGTGGCATTTATACACAATGGAGTATTACTCTGCATTAAAAAATGACAAAATCATAGAATTTGCAGGGAAATGGATGGCATTAGAGCAGATTATGCTAAGTGAAGCTAGCCAATCCCTAAAAAACAAATGCCAAATGTCTTCTTTGATATAAGGAGAGTAACTAAGATCAGAGTAGGGACGAAGAGCAGGAGAAGAAGATTAACATTTAACAGGGATGAGAGGTGGGAGGGAAAGGGAGAGAGAAGGGAAATTGCATGGAAATGGAAGGAGACCCTCAGGGTTATACAGTGGAGGGGGTAGAGAGAGAGGAGGGGAGGGGAGGGGAGAGGTGGGGAGGGGGGAGGGTGGAGGATGGGAAAAAAAAGTAGAAAAAAAAATAAATAAAACACTATGTTTAAAACACGATGTGATGTTTATTTTATGTTAATCATAACTCAATAGAGCAGTTAAAAAGAGATAGTATAAACCGTCAAGGAAAAGATAGATACACTTGAAAGTATTAATACTGACAACTTTTGTAATTAAAAATTACCACAAACAAAATAAAAAATTCCCAGAATAAAATATATCTGCAATGCATATAACAGATTCCAATAAAGAATATATAAAGTATTTTTACTAATCAAAAAGAAAATCAAATAGAGAATACAAACAGGCAATTCATGGAAATGATAATGTGAGTGGTCAATAACATGCAGAAATGATAAGCCCCACTTGCTTTTATGACAAAGGTCATGAAAATTATCATGGTTGATGAATCCAGACTACAATGGCTATCAGTTATCTAAGTCTAGTGCTTTTCTTTAGATAAAACTTTGATGACTGGTCAGTTATTTCTATAGTATATTAGAACCAAGAAATAATAGTAAAATGTGAAATAAAACCACAAAAATACAATAATTTAC